ATAAAATTCGAGATCACACATAAGATTGTAATGTGCTGCCTTTGAAACTTGTCACAAAATACCTAAATATAATATGTATGATATAATATTTGTTTCTTCTAAAAAACCTTAGTTCAAGACAATGTTCATTATCGATTTCACAGGAATATTGTTGAATCACTAAGTAAGGGTTCGAGCCATTGACACCCTTATTATGTATTATATTCATTTCCTTATCTAAAAATATGACTAATATTTTATTAAAAATAAGTAGGGGATTATTGGATAATTTTTAATAAAAAATATAAAAAAAGTTTCAAAGTACTATTTGAAAACAGTATCATTGCTATTTTGAAACAGATCATACAAGTCATACATAACTATCTTAAAACGATCAAATGTTTTGAAATGTCTAATAAAAGCAAATGTTTTCTACTTTTGATTATCATTATTATTTTTAATGCCTAGATTTATTACATCAAATGACTTGTTCTCATTTTCTATATTTATCTTACTTTGTTTTTGACAAAGTGAGACAGACTTGCACACTTTGTTTTCTTGACTAAAATAACTAGCATGAATATCAGTTTTCTTGAGTAAAGATAGCCGCATGCATACTTATTTTCTTGGCTAAAGATAACCATATATATCATTGTTCTAAAAAAAAGTTTCATTATATTTCCAGTAAAAGCCATATTATTTTAATTTTTTTAAAAATATTTGAGTAAGAGTGGTACTAATTCTATTTAGAGTTTCAAATCTTACAAGTAAGGTAAGCTTGTTAAGACACAACAAGGTGATTGAACTTGTTGTATCCCTACAAAACATGCAACATTACTTGATCCATTGCATAAGATAAATTTATAGATATCGTGTATTGTTTTAAGAAAGCAACCTCGGTTATTCCTCAAGTTAGTCATCTAAAATTTTGGTAAAAACTATTATGATGTTTCGGTCATCATTATACCATAAAACATAATAATGTAATTTTAATATTGAATTCTCTAACAATTAAGATAAAAAGGTTCAATTCTTTATTTATTTTAGTTTACAATGAATTTTTTATTTATTATATAAATTTTATTGATTGATTATGTTCTTTTTCATGTGTTAGGAATAACAATTCCTCTCGCCACTACCATAACTTTATACCACCTTTTATAATGGTGATATTAATTTTTTTAAATGTATTATTGTTATTTCTATACTTTTATTACTACCATAACTTATTCTTTCTTCTACACAACCACCACCTTCATCTTCACCACCACCACCGCCACCACTACCTCCATTATCACAATTATCTTTATTATTTTTATTATCATAATAGTTGATGAAATTATTTTTTAATCATTATTCTTATTCGTCTTAAAAATCATATATTAAGGAATATTTATATGAAAATGCAAATGTCATTTCAATTTTTTAATTTTTATTTCGATTCCTGTATTCTCATTTCGGACTTTTCATTTCTAGTAACCAAACAAAACCTAGGTATTGTTTGGTAATAAGAAACGAAACAGATGTGAATGAGAATGTAAGCTTTATTCTAACTTTACAAGTGTTTGATTGAAATAAATGAAACGAGAATGCGAATGAAAAATAAATATAATTTCATTTTCATAGAGAAAGATAAATAAAAATAGGGAATGTGAATGTCATTTTATTCTTCAAAATTATGATTTATTTATTATGTATCAACTATTTCTATCATCATCATCACCTCTCCTACTAACACCACTATTATCACCACCTCTACAACTAACATCACCATTAGTAGTGGTGACAATTTTTTTAACTATTCACTCACTACTCTTCTTCCACCAACACCATCATTCTTCTTCCACTACCATCTCCTATGATAGTGGCATCAATATTTTTAAAATATATTATTGCTATACTATATTATCTAGGAGTGAGCAAACGAGTTAAACAGTTTGATTTTAGATAATTCGGTTAGATTTTCCGTTAATTGAATTAAAAAAAATAAAACTGAAATCAAATTGAAATAAATTTAGTAAATTTGGTTTGAAACTGAATTATTTTAGTTTGGTTTCGAAAAAAATTGACTTTAACTGAAATTTAATTTGCTGTAAAAAAAAAAAAAAAAAAAAAAAAAACTTCCAAAGTTTCATCACCTACTCTGTTGCAACCCAAACCAGAACTAGACAAAGACCATAACATTTGATTGAAGTAAGGCTGTGAGTTTCCAGAGGCATCGTACATGACATTTGACGGATAAATGAAAAACTCGCTTAATGTACATGTTTGATTCTTTTAGCAATGACAGGAACCTGGATAGAGAGAGTTCCTACCAAACATAGGTCCAGATTTCCTTGTTTCATTGGCTTATCTTGATCTTGGAAACTGTAAGTCCTTGGCCTCTCTTTCCTCCTCTTTCAAGTCATGTGTGACTCATTAATATACCATGTGCACAACTTGCAGGAGAAACAGATTTGCAAGCAGGAGCCAACCAAGGATACGATGTATAATATAAGAGATAACAAAAAAAAAAAGACCCTTAATTGATTGAAAGAATCATCAAAGGAAAATGTGGACTAATTAATGGTGATCATGAGTAATTTCAGTTGTTTGGCCAAGAATCTCTCCCGTGAAGATGCTGATCGATGCGACTGATCTCTCCCTCAACTCTGGTTCTTTCTTACTCAAGGTCAAAAGAAAGGGAAAAGTGAGTCCGCCACTGAACTATGCATCAAAGGGTCAAACATGTACTTTGAAATTTAATTTTTTTAGTGTTCATTTTAATTTTCGATCGAAATCGATATTTTTTTACAAAAATTAAATCAAATTAAAATAATTTTATTATTTTAGTTTAATTTTAAATTTTATAAATTTAAATTTAAAATCGAACCAAAATACATAATTTAGCTCGGTTTTATTTAATTGTCGATTAACCGAATCGTTTGTTCACTCCTAATACTATCATCACCACCTTTTCTTCCCCCATCACCACTATCATTACTGCAATTGCCTCTATTATTTTTATTGTCATCATAATTAATAAAATTATTTTTCAATTATTATTTTTATTCTTCTTTAAAATTAGATATTAAAATTTTAAATTTTATTTCGATTACTTATTACTATTTCAAATATAGTATTAGAATAAAAATGCTATTTCGATTTCTTAATATTCATTCTAAATTTTAAATTTCCATTCCAAATATTTTGTTTTTAGTAGTCAAACAACACATTGGCATATCCAAAAAACAAATATACAAGATTTAGTCTTATAAACCCAGCATCCATAACTCACGGTAAGAACTCAAAATTATTGCTACCTTCTGTATCCTTCACCATTACAACTAGCACAATGAAAGCAAATGGATAATTGGGTTAATTTGTTTCACGTCAAAAACCCTAAGACACCAAAAAAAAAAAAAAAAAAAAGAAGCTATAATAGAGTTTATTCTTAAAGGATAATTTGTCTTTCCAAACTTACAGTCTTACAAATTCAAGAAAAACCAAACTCAAAAATTAGGACAAAACTAAGCAAATTGAAATCAGATAACATCTCAACTAACTTAAATAAATATTGCAATAAAGAAAGTGAATAAAATAAAATGAAAAATCAAGAATCGAGGTGCGTCCTGGTATTGATTATAACCAAATCATGAAAAATATCTTAAAATATAAAGTAAATATGCCTATTTGTTCTTATGTAATACTCAAAAGTCTTTCATTTATTTTTTTAAATTTTTTAAATGCTCAATTTGTCATTTCGATCAAATTTTTTTGATTATAAAAATCTTTCTTGATCGAAATATCCTTTACTAAAATGAGAAAAAAATAATTAAAAAACGCTTAATGTCATATGACCTACATGTTTTATTTTTGAAATCTTTAGATTTTTTTTTGTATTTTAATTAAGGGTATTTTGATAAAAAAAATTATTTGGTCAAAAAAATTGATGAGATGGACAAATTAAACATTTTAAATACTTTTAAAAACAAATGAGATGTAATTAAAAACTTTAAGACATATAAAAAATTTTAAATATTATATAAAGACAGATAAATATATTTGCATGTTGAAAACGAGCTTCACCAACTCCAAAATCAGCTTTCTAAATTGAGCAAATCCCAATCGAACATCTAGATTATATAGTTCATTTTATATTGGATTACCGGCTTGTGCTTATGTTTCTTTCTAAATTGCTCATCCTTATCCTTATGGCTACTTACTCCATGTCAGCAATAAACTCCTACTATTATAAATACCTCCATACTAAAACACATATCATTAAAACCCAATCACCTCTATCATTTACCATTTTGACCATTATTGATATATGAAATTATTTATTTAACTTTTTTTTTTTTTAAGTTTATTGCTAAATTTTTGGCTCTATAAAACCCAAAAATTTTCCCTCCTTAACTAAATTTCTGAGTCTGTCATTATTCATGTGTTTTTTTTTTTTTTTCATAAAATACAATCAAATTTCTTAAGATTTCTCTCTTTGCATCATGTGAAACTCACATGATAGATCATAATAATATATAGAGAAACATAAAATAGTCTATTTCATCATGTGATGAGAGAAATTGTAGTAAATTCATGATTTTTTTTTATGGGAAAAGAGAATTTATTTGAGGTTCAAGTGACTACTTATAGGTTTTGTTATTTGAAACTCTAAAAAAGGATCTGATTGAGAGTTCATCGATATGTTAGGGATCTATTAGAAACAAAAAATAGATCGACGCCTAATCAAGATTTCTCCAATAGGTTGAGGACTTTTCTGACGTTTACCACCAATTGCCCAACAAGACATATGAAGCCCGCAAGACACACATAAGCCCAAAAACCAACCTTACAACGAACCCACATATTTCCTTCCCTGTTGGAATCGAAGCAATCGTATCATCCTTCCTAATTAGCTGACATGTGTAATTTTTTTTCACTAGAAAAAGAAAAGAGAAAGTAAGAGAATAAACAAGAAGCATCATTAAATAATAATAATAATAATAAAAAATATATATAAATAAAAGAAAAACAGATAGATGCCTATGCTTCTTATGCTTGTGCCTATGCCTCTATCCCTACCGGCAGGTGTAATAGCGTATGGTTACCGCAACTATTCGCCTCCTTTTAAGCGTCTTTTAGCTCAAAACAGCACTACTATCCTCCACCGTTACCATCATCAGCTTCACCTGCATCTTCGCAGCAGCAACAACAATATTCCATCTCAACTTAGTTCTCTCTTCTATTCTAAATTTTTCCTAAGAAACCTTAATTGCCTCCTCACGGGTAACTCTCTTTTCTTCAGGATGGAGGTAACACCCTACACCAGTTTTCTCTCTCTTTCATTTTGTTTTGACTGTTAATAGATAATGGGTAATCTGCTAAAGTAAAGAAATGAGTGTTTTTGTGGTTGTATTACAACAAAGTCGTGAGGCTATTTGTTTTTTTACTATGTTGTTGAATTTGATGTTTGGTGTTTTTGGGCTGTTAATAAAGGTTTTTTTTTTTTTTTTTTGAAGAAGAAATGGGTGTTTTTGTGTTTGTATTACGAGAAATCCATGATTTTTTTTCTTGTGTTTGAGAATTAAAAAATAAAAGATATGCGGTCTATTTATTTTGTTGATAAATACATTCTGAGAATTTATTGATGGTTTTCTTTTTTTCAAATTTTCTTTCTTTTCCTATAAATCTTATTATTTTGTGATTTTAAGATAGCCCTTTTACTGAATTGATTGATTGCTATGTTCGCAATTGATTTATCCTGTGAAGAATGCGGCTTAGATTAGAATTCATATGATCTGAGGTTTTATGGGTCATTGTTGCTGTCTTGAAGTTGCTCTACAATTGGATATGGAATGGTTTTGGCAGTCGAAGTTGGTAGGGGGAAGTAAAATTCATTCGCTAATGGGTGATTAATAAGTTGTCTAGATCACTTTGTCTAGCATGCAAAGTGGAAATGCAATGCAGTGGTTACTGTGTTAAGATAGAGTATCCCTCTCACAGGTTGATTTCAGCTATGGCTGCTTGAGACATCAACAAATACATTTTAAGGTACTACGAAACAATAGAATTCAAGGGGTTTGAGTTTTTCCTTGAAGTATCTTCAAAAAATAGTCCTGAAAAAGTTGTAGAAAATAGGATTTGATGGGTTTGCTAATGTGCAAAAGTATGTTGACTTCAGATTTTGAAGAAAAGCGTGTTGCTAGTAATCATTACAAAAGTCGGTTGCATTCATCGTCTTGTTTGTGAAAGTGCTTGTTGAGATGAGTTCTCAATAAACACAACGCTTTTTGGAATGTTTGATGCTTGTAATTTCAGGGAAATCTATTTCATATTGGGTGGACATACTCTGTTCTTCTGGCCTTCGTTACTGGGGCCAATTACTTCTTTACCAGTGATACACAATTTTGCCCAAGCCTAGAGGCTCTGGACCTACAAAGTCAGTCCATATCCATTTCTAATGTGGAGGTCACTCATGAGAAAATATTTTCTCCGATAATATCAGTTCCATGCTATCTACCAGAGGTTAATGCATTTTTGTGATTTTGTCTTGTAAATAGTGGTGTTTGTTGCCAATGCTCTCTGGTTGTGGTGCTAGTGGTATCAGAAATTTTTGTTTCAAGACTCTGGTATTCCTTTTATATATGTAGGAACCATTGAGCTTTTATGTGGTTTTCCCATTGTACTTTAACTTTTCATCTTTGTGCATCATGTTAGACTTGAGTTTTATCATCTTTTTTTTGTTTGAATATTGTTTTAAACATTCCTTTTGACAATTTCCAGCGATTCTGGTCTGGAAGTAGCATCAATAAAAATAAAGCAATGGTGGAGCATTTGCATCATTATGGAGTGATCAGTTCCAAAAAGGTGGCTGAAGTAATGGAAACTATTGACAGGGCTTTATTTGTGCCAGATGGTACCCCGGCTTATGTTGACAGTCCCATGGCGATAGGTTACAATGCGACCATTTCTGCACCTCATATGCACGCAACTTGCCTGCAGCTGTTGGAGGAGAATTTGAAGCCTGGCATGCATGCCCTAGATGTTGGTTCAGGTGCTTTTCCCTTGCATCCATTTGTTCCTATCTCCAATAATCCTTTCAAAACTGCACCATAAATTTCTGGTGGGAATTTCATTCTCAGGGTTGGCTGTGTGGGTCTCCTGAAGAGTTATTTTGAACACACAAACATGGGAGTTTTAGGTGTGTGAAATAACTAGGCATTAAGCATATGAAAGTAAGGGACAATGCTCTAGGTTGTGATGCTGAACTAGTTTTGGATCTTAATCTGTGTCACTAGATATTCCTAGTTTGATCTAACTAGGGTTTTGAAACTGTAAGGGATTTTTGATTAACACATCCTGATTCAACAAGGAAGTGGACTGGAATTCGTAAATTTTTAAGAACAAGAACAAGCAAAGCAACTTTAGAAATCTGTTTTAATTTGCTCCACTTTCTCTAAATTGTTTCAGTTGCTGTTGACTACAGTGAATAGAACTCAATGGTCTCGATGATCGTCTCTTGTTGTGCAAGTGTCTGGTTGAGTGTAGCCTTTAGGCATATTACTGAAGGTATACTCATTCTACAATGGAAGCGGGTGGGAGGAAGGGCTTGCTTAGCTTGGTTGTAGTGGGATTGGCTCATTTAAGAATTGTAACTTATGCATTTGTAGTTCTAGAACATTTTTCTCTGCCTGCAATTAAATCCTCAGTTTCTCACTTTGTTTACTTTTGAAGGGACTGGGTATTTGACAGCATGTTTTGCTCTGATGGTTGGACCACAAGGTCGTGCTGTTGGTGTGGAACATATTCAAGAGCTGGCTAATTGTTCCATAAAGAATATTGAGAAAAGTGCAGCAGCTCCATTGTTGAAAGAAGGTTTCCTCTCAATTCATGTCGGTGGTATGTTTTGAACCTTCAAATAATGTTTTTTATTTCGTAAAACATATTAAATCATCTTTTGTAGCTCAAGGGAAGGGTGCACGGGCTAATCTAGTCGCCATAACATTATGATAAATTGAGAATTCCCTATATGTCTCTTATTAGGGTGAAGATTATTGAAAAAAGTACAAATCATAATAGGAATTCATATGGAAGTCCTCTTGTTTGATTTTTATTAATGTCCTATATGGTGTAAGTAAAGGTAATTAAGAGTGGATTTCCATGACAGTTTTCATTTGGTTAACTTAATGTGCTTGCTAAAAGAAGTTGTATCTTCCACCAATGAATTTTCAAAAGAAAGCAGCTTTAACAATGTAAATAACTGAGCTTTGATGGTAATGTTGCTCTCTGTAGATGGAAGACAAGGCTGGCCAGAGTTTGCTCCATATGATGCCATACATGTTGGGGCAGCAGCACCAGAAATTCCACAACCACTTCTTGATCAGTTGAAACCTGGTGGCAGGATGGTGATTCCAGTTGGTAACATATTCCAGGATTTGAAGGTGGTTGACAAGAACGAGGATGGTTCCATTAGCATTCGGAGCGAAACTTCTGTTCGTTATGTCCCTTTAACAAGTCGAGATGCCCAATTACGGGGTTATTAGGTGGAATGTCTTTTGTCTAGAGGTGTCAGGTTGTAGGAGAAGTGCAGGTATGAACTGGGGATGGTTTTGGAGTTGTGCAGATGTCTGAAATTCTGCAAAGTACGGTGTTTAAGATACTCTTAAGCTCCTACGTACTTTGATGCAGTTGTAAATAATAGATGATGTACATCTCATGTTTGCATCTTAGCATGCCAGCACCATCAGCTGCTTGAAATCCATATTAATTTCAGCAATTCCGTGGGGAAAAACTCATTTGTCAGAGTAAGGAACTGTTTGTGCACCTATTATAACAGGTCGGCCTTAGAAGTTGCATTTCCGCTGCAAGGGCAACCTTGAGCACGAGCAAGTGCATATTGGTGGTCAATAGGCCTAGAACTTGATAAAACTGTAAGCGTGTAAAAGGCAACCATGTTGCCTTTTTAAGATTTCAACATCCCGTTAGGACCTATTAATCTATTATTCTCAGTGGCTTTCCGTCCAGGACAGCATAAAAACAGGTATAAAAACTATGTCACCAACTAGCCCAGAGGGTAGCCAGTCTGAACCAAGTTATAAACCTGACGTCCTCACTCCTCTGATGAGTCCTAGGCCTAACAAATTTCAGTATCCAGTTAGTTTCGTTATTGGATGGTCTGACTTGATGCTCTGTCAACGAATTTAATATCATCTCATAAAGCACAATGTACTCGAATTTTAGCAGCAATTTTTAAGGAACACGTTAAGACAATTTGTGTACAGAACTCCTAATGAGCTTCCTCACAACCGGCTGAAAAAAAAGAAAATTAATACCACAAAATTCAAAAGAAAAAGAAAACAAAGGAAAAAGAACCGCCAACAGGACATCTATTTAGTTCATATCAGTTCAAAAGGAGCGCCTTGGTCTTTCCTCGGCAACATTTACTCTGATTGCTCTCCCGTCCAGATTCTGCAAAACCGGAACCACACATATGATGGAACAGAAATTTGAAAGGCATGCTGATAGAACAGACAAAGTAATATAAACTATAAGTTCATAATGCTGAAATAGATTGATGCCAATCTTCTCAACATAATCTGAAGAACTCAAGTCACCAGCCCTCTTTCTTTCTTTGTTTTGTTTTGAATGAATTGACAATACTTATAGTGCGATTAGTTGCCTTTCCACAAACAATCATTAAGAATCTAAAAAGTTCCAGCATTCTGTTGTCACAAAAAAAGTAAGCACTCATGTCATACCTCTCCATCAAGTGCGGCAATGGCATCATTCAACTCGCTCTCCGACGACATAGTTACAAAGCCAAAACCTCGTGAACGGCCAGTCTCTCTGTCAGAAACTACCCGAGCACTCAATACTTTACCATGTTCACTAAAAAGTTGCTCCAGGCGATCACTATCCACGTCCCATGGCAGGTTGCCCACATAGATTCTATAACCAGGTTGAGACACACGGGGAGGGCGCTCTGCCCTTGATCCTCTAGGAAGAGCCTTATTTACAGTCAAGAGCCTTCCATTTAAATCCTGTTCATACAAAATCAAACAGAAAAGAGCAGGGTTAATGGAAAAAAGGTCATGGTAAGATTTGATGATTTTCAAATCAGTTATGACGAGAATAACAAGCAGGGCATCTCACCAATGTTAATCTTAAGAATCAATTCTAATAAAGTGGAATAGCAAAGCATAATCCACTATGCCAAGCATAGGAAATGCTGAATGAACAATACATTACTCTAGTTGTAACAATTAGCATTGAAAATTTGAATCGTCAGGATGCCAATATGAACTCATTAAAGTCAAAGCACTGGAAAAAAAAAAATACAGCATTTGGTTTATCAATTAAAACTAGTACAGCATGGGAATATGAAAAACTTCCAGCAGCCCGGAAGAATTAATGAAATGGTCAGCAATTCTCATGTAAAGAATTTGTATTTGACTATTGATGTAATTGTAATTTTATTCTCTTCAACCAATCCCAATATCAAGGATATTTTCTCAACAAATAACAGGCTTGCTTTACTAGATAAGAGTTTTCATCCTTTCCAGTAAAATTTAAACAGTGTCTTGTCAGCAACAATTACACCAAGAGAAAGACGATTAAATAGCTTTATAAAAACAATAACCTCCAACTGATAACAGTCAATAAACTCAAAAAAAAAAAAAAAGAAGCTTTGGCCAACAATATTTTTTCTTAAACTCCTGTAATCTCTAATTAGTATTATCAGTTCCTGTCTCAAATTAGGATTTTTCTCATATCATACAAAATACTCAGCCATCCAAACCAAACAGGACTACAGGAGTCTCAATTAGTTAAGAGTAAGAAAAGTTCCACAAAGCCAGCAGATTTCTTCTTCTAATCACAAAGGCACAAAGCATCACATGACATCTCTCACTCTGCCTATTCCTTTTCACTCATTTGTAACAACTATATCAAGTTCATTTATCGTTCCAAACCACACATAGCCAAAAGTTTCAGCAAAACAAATAGAGGTAGAAACTTACATAACCGCTAAACATTTCCACGGCCTTGTCGGATTCTTCAACAGTACTCATCGTCACAAACCCAAAGCCACGACTTGTATCAGTTTCCAAGTTGTAAATAACCTACAACCCAACAAACAAAACCTCCATAAAACCCTTAAAACACGCACTAAAAAACTAAAATTCCAATAAAAAAGCAAGGACATTTATTTACCTCAGCAATATCAACAGTTCCAGCTTGATTAAATAACATGGCCAACTTCTCACTATCAACATCATAAGGCAAGTTCCCAACAAAAATCTTAGCTTCCTCTGGTGGCTCCACAAATTCCTCCTCGTCACCACTCTCTCCTTCACCTCTAATGGCTTCGGTTTCGGTAGCAGCTGCATCCTCTCCTTCAGCCTCCCAATCAGATACTGTACCTTCAACATCATTACTTTCTTGATTTTCCCAACTGGATTCTCCTTGTTCTGATTCAGCTAAAGTGATGGTGGTGTCGTTTTCTCCTTCCTGTTGAGCCCAATCCGAGGTCTGGGCCACAAAAGGGATTGTCAAAGAGAAATGGGTTTTGGGTTTTAGAGAGAAAGGAGATAAAGAGTGAGAGTATGAGAGTTGGAGTTTGATGGATTTCTGTGGGATAGGAAGAGGTTTAAGTGCGGATTTTGAAGTGAAAATCGAAGGGAATGAACAGAGGCATGTTTCTGCCATTAGCAGGGGGTTGAAGGTGGAAGCAGCTGTGGCAGACATGTTTAAGAGAGAAGAGAGTAGGAGAGAATTGGGAGAGGAGAGGAATGGTGGAGGGGTTTAGAGGGTAGAGGATAAGAGACAGACAGACTGGAAAGAGGAGAGGGTTTTTAAAGCTAAAGAAGAGAGAAGTTTTATTTAGTTATTTTATATTTTTTATGGACTGCAATTTTGGGCCTCGTGGATTAGGCAGTGGGCTTCTCGAAGATTTTTATGGAATTTGATGGCTGTCTTTCGTAACAGACTACTTGTCGTTTAAGTAGGAGACCAAATACGACAATTGGCCATGGTATGGTATAGCACGTCCGAGGGTGCACAGAAGAAGCTTAGCTAGAAATTAGATTTGGTTCTGTTGGTAAGATTTACCTTTCATTCAAATCTTGAACATTTGATGAGATGTAATGAAATATCTTTAGTTTCGATTTCGAGATGTGAAACTTCGAAATCGTGTATATATAAAATAAACAGATAGCATCAAATACATGGTATGCTTTGCAATGAAAGACATGAGGTAGCAAGTGAGTAGTGTCCTCTCTCCCCTATGCACGTATATAAACTAGCAAGATTGCCATTTCCACAACATATGAGTAGAGCAACAAAGAAGCTACCACTAATAACACATAGATGTTTGCAGTAAAAAAATAATAATATAGTCTTTAAATGATAGTCGGTATTACATCGTATTTATTGATGATTTTAGAAGAATGTGTTAGGTATATTTTCTTTGAAAAAAGAATCAGAGGTAGTTGATTTTTTTGGAAATTTAAAATTTGGATTGAGAATCAAAATGGTCATAAGCTAAAGGTGATTAATCAAATAATAGGATCGAGTATACTTCGACAAATCAACAAGTTCGATGAAGTCTGCAGGAATTGAGCATCAATTGACAACAACTTGTACTCCATAACAAAAATGGAGTGAGTGAGAGGAAAAATAAAACGAGTGATTGAATGTTTAGATGTCATCTCGTTTGAGAGAAAACTTCCAAAAAATTATGGATCGATACTTTCAATACGGCAGTTTATTTGCTCGATAGATTGCCAATAAAGAAGCTAAAGAACAAAACACCTTTTGAAGCTTGACATGGTTACAAGCCCTCCGTGCGGAATACGAAGGTATTTGGCTGCATATGTTACACACATATTCCTCACGTGAAGATAGACAAACTGGATTAGAAGGTTAAGCTTAGGATTCCGATAGGCTATAGAAACATCATCAAAGGCTAAAGGGTCTATCAACCTTTGATCGAAAAGGTTGTTGTTATCGGAGACATCAAATTTGATGAATCTACAATATGGAGTTGGGACAAGTCAAAAAAGTAGAGCATGAAGAAATCAAGAATATTTTTGAATACCAAAATGAGAAGATTGATGATTCCATTGATGATGCTCCCGTAAGGGTTACTAGTACTAGATTATGTTTTGACATTTATCAAAAGTGTAATATTGTTGTGCTTGAGCTTGTAGGTTATATAAATGTTGTAAATGATCCAAAATGGATTGTAGCAATGAAGAAGGAGCTTAGAATGATTGAGAAGAATCAAAGTTAGACATTAATGGATAGACCAAGTCATAAAAAGGCCTTAGGAGTGAAGTGGGCGTTCAAAACTAAATTGAATGCCAATGGAACTAGGAATAAGCATATAGCTAGATTGGTGGTCAAGGGATATGGACAACAATTTAGAGTGGATTTCTCAAAAGCCTTTGTACCAGTTGTTAAATGCTCTTGGCACTTATAGTTCGGGAGGAATGGAAAATATTTCAGCTAGTTGTCAAATCTTCATTTCTAAATGGTTATCTTAAAGAAGAAATCTTTGTTAAGAAAATGAAGGTTTTATTATGAAGGAAAAAAAAAAAAGAAGATAAGGTGTACTTACTCAAGAAGGCCTTATTTAGGTTAAAATAGGTTCCAAGAGTTTGGTATAATAGAATTGATGATTATTTACTAAAGATTGATTTAAACAAGAGTTTGAGTGAGTCAACTCTATATGGAAAGGTAGTAAATGAAAAATTAACTATTATTTCACTTTATGTTGGTGACCTACTTGTAACAGGAAGTAACTTAGCTTTGGTACAACAAATTAAGAAGTAGATGATGAAAGAGTTTGAGATGAAAAAATTGAGAGAGATGTCATTCTTTCTTGGCATGAAGATACAACAATCATAACATGGAATCTTCATTGGACAACAAAAATAAGTAAAAGTGGTGCTTAGGAAATTCAACATGGAGCATTGCAAGTCCATAAGCACTCCTCTAATGCAAAATGAAAAGCTAAACAAAGATTATGGTACCGAGAAGGTTGATGAAGGATTATATAGAAGCCTTCTAGGTTGTTTAATTTTCTTTACTATAACAAGGCTTAAAATTATGTTTACTATAAGTTTGTTATCTAGATTCATAGGTTGTCTAGGTGAGTTACATTTTAAAGCCGCCAAAAGAGTGTTTAGATACATTAAAGGCACAATTGATGTTGGCATTATGTTTAAGAAGTCAAAAAAGATGAAATTACTAGGTTACATTGATAGTGATTGGGTAGGATCATATGATGATATGAGAAGTACTTCTAGGGTATGTATTTAGCTTTGGTTCTAGGTGTTTTTCTCGGAGTTCAAAGAAGTAGGATATTGTTGCTCAATCCATAACAAAAGTAGAATATGTTGTAGTTATTGCTACTGTAAATTAAGCTCTATGGCCGAGGAAATTATTATCGGATTTGAAGTATGCACAAGAAGAAGCAATAAATATTTTTATTGACAATCGATCTGCTATAGCTACCTTTAGCAATCCTATGTTTCATGGAAGAACCAAGAATTTTAGGATCAAATTTTATTTCATCGGATAAGTTTAAAAAAAGAGGAAATTGCTTTGATGCACTAGAGAACCGATGTGCAACTTGCCGACTTTATGACTAAGGCTTTATCGGTGACTAAGTTTAAAGAGTTTAGATGGAAGGTTGGAGTTACAACATGTTGAATATGGCTTGAATTTTATGGGCCAATAATATATTTACTCCATTAGGTTTTTTCCTTCTTAGGTATGAGGTATTTAAACCTCATTCTATCTCTTTTTAGAAAATAAAGTGAAAAAATTGAGATTTTATATTGAGCCTCTAGTGGTTCTTGTATTCTCTTATTATCAAGCTAATAAAACTTTCCTCTCACTCATGGAGTAGACAATTTGTTGAACCACATAAATACTATGTGTTGACAATTTATTTAGCTATATATTTTTTTATTATTGTCTACCATTACTTGTCTTGTTTTTGTTGTTTATCATCATAATCTGGTAGCGGAGCATAAGTTACGCATCTTGGGTTTTTTTATTCGTAATGAAAGCTCCGAAATTTGATGTTACGCTTTTTAATTATCAAAATAATTTTGACTCCGTAAAGGATAAATATCAAAGCTTTGTTGTAACATGAAGGTTTTATCAAGGCATTTGAGGATATATACCCGGGTGTTATGACTTTTACCGAAATTGAAGAGATAGATGATAAGGTCTGTTAGTGTAGGTGTCCAAGATCCAACCTTATTTGGATGGTTTAACTTATTATAATATTGTATTTTTTATTTAATTAATAAAAGAAATCTTTCTATTAATTCTTGTCATTTATATTTTGATAGAATATATATCCTTAAGTTACATGATATGACTTTTATCAAGTTACATTACTTGTTCTTTTTCCGTTGTGTTGTCATCATAAACTGGTAGCGGAGCACAAGTTGCGCATCTTAGGTTTTTCTATCCGTAATAAAAGCTCTAAAATTTGATGTTACGCTTTTTTATTGTCAAAATAATTTTGTCCTTGGGAGGATAAATATGAAAGGTTTGTTGTAACAAGAAGGTTTTATCAAGGCAATTAAGGATATATACCTAGATGATATGACTTTTACCAAAATTGAAGAGATAGATGAGAAGGTTGTTAGTGTAGGTGTCCAAGATCCAACCTTATTTGGATGGTTTAACTTATAATAATATTGTATTTTTTATTTAATTAATAAAAGAAGTCTTTTTATTAGTTATTGTCATTTATATTTTGATAGAATTAGATAGAAGTTCATATGATATACATTGCATTAATGATTGATCAAAAGATGTGAGATAAATATTAATGCACTTAAATGATATTATTAAATATCTCAAGTCATAGCATTGTCAAAAATGAATATTGATTATATGTCGTAAGACTTGTGAGTGTTATGTTCATGCTATAAGATAGTAGTAGGAGATCTCACACTTACCGGTACGGTGATGCCAAAGCAAGCACTTAGGTGATTCAAGTTAGAGAGTATATCACTAGATGTAACTCACAATGAGAATCCATTTAGTTTAGTTTATGAAAATCTCATACAAGATGAGTACAACTGGTCCTTTGAGTTAAAGTTGTCATAATCATCTCATTAGAGGATTTATATACTTTGACACTAGTTTCGATGGGCTCGGTTAAGAGCTACATATGGACGATTCATTTGGTGCACTAAGAATCTAATGGAGATAAGTGGATAACTAAGATAAGACATGTCATTCCTTATATGCTAAAGGAGTTATCACATTGTACTTTAATGAATGTACTGCTCAAGGAATCTGTGTCCACGGTAGGAGTACACCAATATAGTATATTTAGTTTGCTCTAGAGCTAAGACATTTGGGAATCGAAGAAAACTTGTGTGATCATAATCGAACGGACTATAAATCAAGTTCGAGATCACGGTGTGATAAATTGATATGAGGACTAAATTGTATGGTAACCATGCTCATGAAAGGTAATATTAATCTTCTTAGAGAATTGGGTAGTCATGATGTCTTATTAGAGGTCAATTTTGATTCATTTACCAAGACATAAAAGAGATTTCATTTATTCTCGATAAATTTCTAATATATCTAGGAGCTTAGTAAGTCACACACATAAGTTTAAGCATTCACATAATAAAAGAGAAGTAAAGATTTAGGAAAAGGTTTCCAATTTTAAAAGTTTTCTATTTTGAAAAAGGTTTTCAAAAACG